AACATTGATAAAAATAAAAACCCTAAATTTAATCATGAAATATATAAGATTAATAAATGTAAGAAATATATATCTTAAGATCCATAGATCTAAGTAATTAAAATAATGTAATTCCTATATACTAAGTTATAAAAGATAAATTTAGTTAAGTAATATAAGATGTTCACTAATTATAATTAATAATTATTTTTATTATTAATCTATTAGCTATTTCTATATTGAGGATCTAGTCTTTAAGGAACTTACTTAGCTATATAAGTAGATTAAAAGGTTATTAGACTCTTATATATAAGAATAGTATATTAACAAAGATAAAGAGTTTCTAAAATCTAATATATAGGTAATCTTATTAAGTTAATAGATATAAGTCTTAGATATTTTATATATATCAGTAAACTAGACTAAGTAAGAATAATGGTAAATATTTAGTTTAAATCTCTAGAACTATAATTCTTAATACTAAAATACTAGGATAAATAAATCCTAAAGCTATAAGTATAATATATTAACAACTATTCAAAATTATATAAAGATACTTAATCATTTATGAAGTTATGATATATTATTATAAATAGATATCATTGACTAATATTATTATTATATTTATAACTTCTAATATTTAGAGGTATATATTAATATTATACTAAAATAAATTTTAAACTTTTAAAATAGAACTATACCTCTAGATTAATAACGGAATAAAATATAAAGATATAAATAATCATCTATACCAAATTTATAGTCTAAAGTTATTGAAAATAAGTATGAGTAAATATCTTATATCCTAGGAAGAGAAGAGGCTATAAACCTTAATACCTATTTTACAAAAAGATCTTATTTTTAGCTAAAAACTAGAGACTTATCTAAACTAATATCATTAAAGCTATAGATCTTGAAATTAATCTCTAGGCCTAAGCCCATCTCTATAAGCCTCTTGATTATTTCTTTTATATATTATATTCTTATTATTATTACTATAGATAGTATAATAGAGTTAGAATATATATTTAAGAAATAAAATAAAAGGATAACTATCTAGGATAGGAGATGAAGAGATATACTTATAAATTAAGAATAGACTATTAAGGAACCATAGACGAGAAGAGTAGTCATTTAGCTACTCTAATTACTTAATCTTTATATAGGAGGTACTTACTGAAGATAACTTTTACTTTCTAGAAGTAATAATAAGACTATATATTAAGAAGACCTTAGAGAATATTACATTATTATAATCTTAGTCCTTATAAATTAAAAAACTAAGTAATTCATAACCGGTTACTCTAAAAATACTAAGATAATCTAAATAGAGGGATAGGGGTTAATATAAGAAATACTTTAATAAAAAATAGTAAGAAATTATACAAATAATAGATAAAGTTTTCATCTTTATATATTATATACTTCTAATATCTCCCTAAATATACTAGATATTAGATAAAGAATATTTAGCTTAATTAATAAAGTAGCTTCTTAATCCTTATCCGTACTATCAAACACTATACTATTGAAGAACAGCATCCTTATATATTCTCTAATTTATTATTATCCTTTAATATTCTTCTTCTATGAATTTTACTTAAATTCTCCTCTAAATCCTATATATCTAGTTCTTACATTTTAGTAGTAATTGTCACACGCTTTGACCACTAGTGGTGTGCTGACCAAGCCTCCCGTCTTGGTCAGCCACACTAAAGTGTCATTTTTTACCCTTTTTGAGCTTTTCCAGCGTCACACCTTCTGTATCTATTGTATAAAGTGGTTTTCCATCATCTCCAATGACCCAGCTATCAGAATCCTCAATTTCTCCGTTTTCGTCCGATCTTTGTGGAATTGGGACCAATTCTTTTGCAGCGGCTCGGAGCATGCGCATATGGTCCAACCTTTTCTCCTCCTCGTCACGTCTCCAAATTCGCCGGTTGGCATCTAGAGGTGTTAAAGCAGTAAGGCTTGATAGCTGCTTTCTAGACCTTTTGGTCTGAATTGGACGTTGACGAGCTTGAATTGAGAGGAATTTCCTCTCAAGCTCATTGGTATACTCTGTGTTGATAACTTGGCCTATCTGGTAGTGCTTGAAATCGCGTTTTAACCGATTAAGCTCTTCGGTCTGATCTTTCATTTCGTCCGATATTTTTCCAATACGCTTTTCAAGCTTATTTCCCACATAATTCAGCCTTTCAATTGTTCGAGGTGGTGAATTAATAGGCGAAGAGTGTGGTTCTGGTGTGTGGCCTAAGAGCTCGAGAATTGGGTCATTTTTATGCCTTTCATCCCATCTTTTTTGTATTGGTCCGATCATAATATTAGGATTAAAAGGCCAAATTCCAGTATCTCGAAACGCGCTCTTAATAATTCGTGGTTGGAATGATTTCTGTCGGATTGAAGTGATATTTTGAAGGAATACCCGCTTTGCTGAATCGGGCTGGAACCACGCGTTTGTAAGCGTATTTTCCTTCCGAAAATATTGTTTTAAACTCAAAAATGGCTTTTGGTCTAAAGGTTGAGCAAAATGAGAGGTATGGGGTCGAAAGCTGATTGGGATAATTCGGTGATTTTCGTAAAAATCGAGGAATTCAAACGTAAGGTGGGATCTATGCCCGTCGAAGAAAAGCACGCGTTTTCCATTAGTCCCAACGCGATTTTTCGTGTTTTTATGGAATAGATGAAGCTATTCTAGGGCAATTAGATCAGACGACCAGCTGTTTAGAGAGACTTGGATTTTATAGTGCTAATTAAGCGCTAGATTGTCATGGAACCAGTCCTCCATATGCGTCCAACCTTAGAAGATCAAATATGGGACCATAACCTAACCATCCACGGCAATACACTCAATTAAGGTAATAATTTGACCCCGATCGGTCGAAGAGAGCCTATCTAAGCTATATTAATAGCGCGTCACGACCTTTTAAGCTCGTCCTTAACCTAATTGGAACCCTATCTCGTCGAAATTGTAGATATTTTTGGGACTAATACCTTTAATCCAATCTCCAACATAGTTAAACCAGGTTATAAGACGTGAAATATCCTCTGATTCTAGCCTATTTTTATCTATAGGCTTCTGTTTAATCCAAAAGAAGCCTTCTGGAAGACGTCGGACGAATCGGCTAGACCACATCTTGCTAACCAGAGGCTGGTTAGAACGTGCTAAAATTGAATTTACGCAACGTTCAATCTCTTGGAGCGTACAAGGCGCCCATAGATCATCAAGCTGCTTAATATATCGGATTAAAGCAGCTTCTTGCATCATATTCAGCGCTCGTTATGGTGATATTTTCGTCTTAACTTTTCCGCGTGCGTGGAACCGACGGAGTAGCGACCGATATGGAAGGCTAAACGACCGGGCTAATTCCGTTATATTAGGCTCATTTTGGTCGGATATGGTAGCTAGGGCTTGCTGGTAATGTATTTCGAGTTCAGATGGCATATTTAACGTATTTTGGTAGAGAAATGGGATTAAAAGGGTAAAAAATGACACTTTAGTGTGGTTTGACACTTTAGTGTGGCTGACCAAGACGGGAGGCTTGGTCAGCACACCACTAGTGGTCAAAGCGTGTGACAATTATAGTTCTCATTCAACAACTATTTCTTCTATATTTTCTATATCCTAAATCATATTACCTTAATTATGTAATCTAATTCCCTAAGATTAGTACTTGATCGCCTTACTAAGTTTAGATATATATTTTAGCGTCTATGCCTTATAATATATTTTAAAAGCTATAAGATTATAGGCTATATCTCAGATACAGTTTTACTACTGCTAATTAAGGTTTAAAACTTTAAGTAATGAAGTATTCATCTTTTTATAAACCTGTTTATTTTTCTAATTTTATCGGAACTTATTTATCAGTATTAGCTATTTCTCCCTAATATCAAATTTTAATATATATAGTAGTATTATTAAATCTTAGATAGTTATATTATATAGTAGATCTTTAATAATAGTAATAGATATTAGGTATAAAGCTAATGAGTTCCTTTATATATATATTAATTATAAAGATAGAGAGGATATTATATATTATTATGAAAAGAATTAGATATTTATATTGATGTTCATTTTAGATTATCTATAAAGAAATCTTAATAATGTCTAATAAAAAAGTTAATGAATAAATAATTAATAATATAAATTTAACTTATTACTCTTAAGGTATTATATAAACCTATTATATCAACTTAATTATCAATATTTTCATTCTTTAAATATAATCTAGAGGCTATCTATTGTTATAAACTATATAGATAATTAAGCTTCAGATAATATCTATATATATATACATAAGATACTATCTATATAATCTAAAAGTATCTTAAAAGCTTTTATAATATCTTTATTCTAAGATTATCTTATTAATCCTAGAGATTTAGTTTTTATAATTAGAATCCTAAAGCTAATGTTTTAAAATAAAGATTATATTGATTATAAATAGATTATTATGAATTTTATGAGTTTTATTATAATATTTAGTAAGGTTATATCTTATAAAAATTAAGTACTTCAAGTATTTCTTTCTTTTAAAAACTGTCTTTTATTGAAATTAGTACAGTGGCGTTGGTTTAGTCTAAGACAACCTATCTTTACCGCTTTTACCACCGCTTTCTATATTGAGTTAGCCTACCTGAGCACGCGTCTCAACACGCTAATATAAACATATATCATACGTTCAGACACGCCTTTCAACCCCTATATTATATGATTTAATATGATATGCCTCTAATTCGCCGTGATCATATAGCCGCACGTCATCATAGATACGAACTTGCTCCATATAAACGTACTAAGCTTATCGAGCTTAAGTTAATTAGATAGTCATATAAATAGATACACAATCGATATCCCTTAATTCCAATCTCCACAATTAAGTCCACATGGCTTAGAGCTCATCAGAATGGGCCCTCGCAAGAGGCTTTGCCTTATTCTAGCCAACTAAAGAAGCTTAATAAGGAGGATAAGGAGAATATCCATTAAGCAATTAACGACAATCTATAGGTTAAATATGATGATCTTCTTACAATAGTTAACCATAAAGTTTATCGACAAATAATTTAGTCTTCTTCGCGAAGAGAATCTACGTAAATAGCTCCGTCTTTAACGCCTAAAGCTTACCAAAGAGTAAGCTCAAAAGCGGTTTAAATAGGCTCAACGAGTCCAGGATTATAGCTCTAAGAAGTGGATAAGAATCTTCGAGTCTAACGAATCAATAATTAAAAGAGGTAAAGGTGCTCGCCGGGAGTATACCTTTAACCGACCCTCGACTCAAATCGCACTCCAAGATATCGACGCAGTTGATTGTCATAAGGGTAAATCGCAAATATTTTGGGCTGCTTTATCAGGAAGTAGTCGACGGACAGGCCTCTCCCCCTTTTTAGAGACCCGGATTCACCTCATAGAGGGCTTACTCAATGGGTAATCCTCGAGCTTTACCAACGAGTCCTTCCAACTTTATTAAATAGAGTTGATGGCGCTATTTTCTAACAAGATAACGCTTCTATGCATACCGCACACGTTATACGTGATTGGTTAGCGGACTAAGGCTTTGAAATAATGGCCTGGCCCCCTTATTCACCTGATTTAAACCCAATTGAAAACGTTTGGTCGCTCTTGAAGGCAAAAATCTATGAATTACACCCTGAAATCAGAGGCATGCCAGACAACGACGAGACCATTGAATACGTTATTTCTGTGGCTCAAGAAGCTTGGTAGTACATGGATATAGATATGCTTGGAAACCTTACTATAACCATGCCTCATAGGGTGCAACAGGTGCTTAAATATGAGGGCTGGTATACTAGCTATTAGATATGTAGGAATTTAGGGGTTTTTGACTGGCAGAAAACACGGTCGAATATAAGGCGGTAAAAATGGGTTGTCTCAGACTAAACCAACGCCACTATAAGATAACTATTTTAGATATTTAAGAAGGTTATTATAGATCTTAAAGATAACATAGCTTGAGTTATCTTTACTTTTATATAATACAGTAATAAAATTAGAAAATAGATGGATAATTTAGAGAAAATATTTAATTTAGCGCTATTTATCTTTACTAAAAGAGCGATTTCTCAACTTAATTTATAAAAAATTTATTAAGTATAGTTTATAGTGATTTTACTTAATAAGATATAGAAAGAATTAGATTTAAGAATGAATATTTATAATCTAGGTAAGAATAAGCCTTAATATTAATACCTAAAGAATAAGATATATTTTATAATTTCATAATCTTATATTATATAACTAATAAGGGTTTAAATCTAAATAATTATAATAATAAGTCCTTATAATAAAAGAAAGATTATATGTTATTAAAAGTATCTATAATCTCTTATTTATTTTATTATATATTTCTGAAAACTAATTATAACTTATTACCTAACTACTTATAGTAATTTTATTTTTAGATTAAATTCTATCTTATTAAAGAGCTATTTTAGACTTAACTAGACTATACAGATTATTTATAAAACTTAAATAATTATTTTATCATCTTAAAGATTAACTAATTATACTAAATCCTAGATATAAAAACTATACTATATTATTACTAATTATTACTAGGATTTAATTTATAATATAATAGGGTTTATAAGTATTTCCCTAGTGTGGGTCTAGTTAGTTTACCCTAATAACTACTATATTTTTTTTCCTCTTATAGTGCCCTTATTAATTTAATAGAGATTAGATCTATAAGAAAAGAAAAGAAGACTAAAAGCTAAGTTAACCCTTAATTAATATACTATCATTTTATATATATATATATAAAAATAGCGTATCCTAGATATAATTAGCTAAGGATTTTAGCTATAAAATGATTTATAATATATTAAAATACTTTAAAGAAAAATAATATATTATTTCCAAGCCTTAATCAAGAAGACTAAAGATCTTTATTACTAGATCTTATAGCTTAGTCTATATAAAGATTTATATAAACCTATTAGATAACTTTCTATATATATATTTAATTACTTATTTTACTTAATAATTTAATAACTTTTAAAGATATTTAGTCTCTTAAAGTAGTTGTTAAAATAGAAATGGAAGTTTCTAATCTTAAGATCTCTTATAGAAAAATAACACTATTATACTTAGAAATAGCTTTAGGTTTAAGGAGAAACTATAGTTTAAAATTAGATCTTTTTAGATAAGTATTTAGTTTAGTAAATTATAAATATTAAACTAATATAGTACTAGAGGTTTATATCTAAAAGATATTGTTAAAACTTAGTAAACATTAAAGTCTATATTAAGGATATTTTATAAATAGTTTAGGGCATAATTTAGCTTAGAGGATATTTAGAATTAATTATTATAGAATAAGATATAAGAGAGGGTTCTTAGGAAGGATATATAGTAAATTTATACCTAGATATATTTAAGGAAAATCCCCCTTTAGTCTATAAGCTTAGAAGAGTCTTTTAGTAAGATAATATAAGGATCTATATTAAATATATAATAAGAGACTAATTTAAAGAGTATAGGATTTATATTAAAGATTAGCCTATATACTTATCTAATTTAAATCTTATTAACCCTATCTAGGGGTAGTTAAAATTAAAGCTTTTTTTTAGCTCTATCTAGAGCTTATCTAAATAGGAAGGTCTAAGAGTAATTAGACTTATTCTAAAGTATATATTAAGGAGATATAATAGGCTCTAGATTAGAGTATAATAGATAGTCTAATTCTAAGTATAGGGAGATATCTTAGAGTAGTAAGAGATATATATAGATATATCTAAGATTAGTAGGGTAACTAGTTACTAATCTTAGGGAATTAGATTAGATAAATAAGGTAATATAGTTAAGCTAAACTAATTTAGGGTCTTCTTAGGAAATTCTTAGAATAGAAAGTAGAGAAAAAATTAGCATAAGATTTAAATTATTCTACTAAAATACAAGAACTAAATACCTAAGATTTAGAGAAGAAATTCAATAGAATAAATAAATTAAGGAAAATATTATATAATATAATATAAATAAAATAGCGGAGAATTCTAGTAAATAAGTATAAACTTAGAGAATATATAAGGACTCTATTCTCTAATATACCCCCCTAGATTTTAATAGTACATTAAATCTATATATTTAGTAAGTAAACCTTACTAAATTTATTAAATTTTAGAATATAACTAAAGAAATATAATAGGTTAAACTATTAAAATTAACTAGACTAGTTAGATATAAGATACTATATATTAACTATACTAAGCTATCCTATAAAGCGTTATTATTATTAAGATAAAAGATACTTAGTTAGTCTATTAGTAGATATCTCTAAGGTTAGAACCTACTTAATTAATAAGTTCTTATTCTAGACTTCTTAATATAACTTATTCTACTAAATATCTATATATTTTAGCTTAGTCTTATATATTAAGTCCTATTTAATAAGGAGATTAACTATTTACTAGTTATTATATTATAGGATAAAGGGCTCTTTAAGGTTAAACTTAATTAATTAAAATAGTTATTTAATCTAGTATAACTATTTAGTAGCTATTATTATAGATAGAAGCTTAGCTTTAGTTATTAATATAGTAATAGTATATTACTTATATAATTTCTAGTTAATAGCTCCTCTATATAGCGAGAAAATATACCCTTCTAAGCTCTTCTAATTAAGATTATCTATAAAGCTAGTATCTAAGGTAGCCTAGAATAGCTAAGTAGCTAGCTTATATCTATTAAATTTAATAGTAAGGTATTTTATCCTATATAAGTATTTAATAATATAATATATATACCTTAGTTAAGAATATAGATAGAGCTTATAATAAGAAATATATATCTAGCTATATAGATATAATATTAAAAAGAAGACTTCTAATATACTATTAATATCTATTTAGAGTAGTAAGTAATAGAGGTAGTTTAGTCCTAAATTCTATTAGTTTTTTAGATAGTAATAGGGTCTTAGATATAGTATATCTAGTAAGGCTAAAATAGTAAGTAATTTTATTAATATATATATCCTATAAGATCTATAATTAATAAGTTATATATTCTTAGATAATTTATATCCTAATAAAATAAGATAATTCTCTATAATCTTTTATCTTAAAGTAGTTATAAAGGAATAATCTAATTTTCTATATTAATTTAGTATATTTTTAATAATATATTATTAATATATTATCTATAAAGACTATAATAATTATATTCTATCCTATATATAGATATAGATCTTCTAAAATTAGGTTAAGACTATATACTCTTAATACTATATAGAGTTCTTATTATTATAGAAATAGGGTAATCTAGAGACTATATAGAGCTTAAAGAAGCTTTAATATATATCCTTTCTATCTAAATCCTAGTAGATAATAATAGAAAATATTATCTATTAGTTAGCTATTTAAGAATATATTAATAATATCTAATTATATAGTTTTAAGGTTAAATATAGCTATAATAGCTAATAGAATATATAATATAGTAGTAGTAAGTATAATAGTATATATATTATAATCCTTTATAATCTATTGGTCTCTCTATATATATAAGCGCGCTTTATACCTTATAATATACCTATTTTAGTCTATTTTATAGGTAAATACTTACCTAATAGATAGGATTTAGTATATTAGATATAATTTCTATAAAATAGGTCTATACTTAATATAAGCCTAAGAAATAAGGTCTTTCTTAACTAGAACCTATACTTTTATCTATTCTAGCTTCCTAAATTCTACCTCTATTACTTCTTTAAATTAAACTTATAATTTATATATTTTAAGATTATAATAACCTTCTAGAGATAGTAGAATATCCTTAATATAAGCCTTCTTTAGCTAGCTTATTAATATAGCTAAGAACGCCTAGATAAATAGAAATAGGGTAAGATTTAACTTAAAATATTTAGTATTATAATCCTTAAAATCTATATTATATATACTATTAAAGGCACATTTTAGGTAGTTATTTACTATATCTTTTATAGACTCTAAGTTATCTAAATTATAGATAGGATTATTATTAAATATTAGATATTCTAACATATTAAATCATAAATTATTAATTAGGATTATAGGTCTTATTACTAATATTATAGATCTATCTACTTAGTTTATTTTAGCTAAAAAAGATAGCTCTAGAGGCTAGTTAATTTTAGCTAAAGAAGATAGCTTTAGGGACTAGTTATTTATATAATCCCTTTATAATCTCTAGTATATATAGAATATCGTCTAAGATCTTATCCTTATCCCTCTTAGAATATATATCCTATATTTCTACTTATTCTAATATTATATTTTCTATACTTTCTATACTCTACTTATCTTACTTATTATCTAGTATATTAAGATCTATAATTAGAGAGTTAAATTCTACCTTATTAAGGTAGCTTATGATAGACCCTAAATTATTAAAAATATTATATTTCTAGCGCTTAATCTAGTCTATTAACTTAAA